GCTGACTCTCAGCTACAGTTCTCACTGTAGCCCTAGGTACAGGGTGGGTCAGCCAGGCCACTGCCCCAGCTGGCTTTGCTACTTGACCTCTGCAGCCTAGGGTCATGGAGCAGGTGGACCTCACCTTTGCCCCCTCAGGTTGGGTCACTTGCCTCCTCGCCACACCTGGCCTCCATCACCATGTGGGTGCCTGGACCCACCCTTCCAGGAGGCTTGGGGCAGGGGTGCTGCCCATGGAGGACCTTGTGGGCTGGCCCCCACCTGGGCACACTAGCTTGGCCTCAACACGGCCCAAGACAATGCTCCTGACTGGAAAGCAAGGCTCTGGTCTTGGCCCCTGGATTCCAGGAGCGACTCCTCACCATGGGAACCAATCTTCCTGATGTGTCACAGGACTCCTGCTCAGGGTCCCTGTCCCCACCGTGTCCCAGGCTCTCAGGACTCCAGCCTTGTGTCCCACCTGGCTCCTTCCTCTCTTCCGGCCACGATGCGTGCCCTCCGAGGAGCCTCATCCTGTGTGCACTACGGCTGGTGAAGAGCAGGGAAGGCCCCCACATCAGGGTCTGGGCCCTTGAGCTCCCAGGGACACTTTGGTGAGGGTGGGCTCTGCCTGTCCTCCCTTAGAGCCCGGCCCCTGCCCCAATGCCCCAGCCCCACTGGGCACCTCTGCTGCATCCAGCCCACACCCACCTGCAGCCTGGACCCCAGGGCAAGCTCTGGGAGGCTAGCCCAGTGCAGGCTGGAGGCCCCAGAGGCCACATGGTAACAGGTGCCAGCGTTTCCTAGGCAACAACAGCCAGATGCCAGGCCTGCCTGGGGGAGGTGGCTGTGAAGCAGGGGCTGGGCAGGAAGCTGGTACCTGTGTGATGTGAGAGGTGTAGCCGTGCGTGCAGGCGACATGTACCTGTGTGGTGTGAGAGGTGTGGCTGTGCGTGCAGGCGGCATGGACCTGCAAGCGTGTCTGTGCTTTTGAGGGGTGCACACCTAGGGTGGCAGGTCTGGTGGCACACCTAGGGTGGTGAGTGTGGGTCTATGTACATGTGTGGTGTGCACCGTGGGTGTGTCTGCTGCGGGGGCGGCTTCGTGCCTACCAGCATGGAGCGTTTTGTGGTCCCCCCCCACAGCCCCACTCCCTGACCACCCTGCCTTCCTCCCCCAGCAAACAGCAATGGGGCCACCTGCCATGGTCCCGAGGCCGGGCCTTGGCCTGGAGCCCTGAGGGTGGCTGACCCTGCGAGGGGCTGCACAGGATGGGGGCCGAGCAAGGCCTACAAGCTCTCCTGGCCAAGCGGTGGGCAGATCACAGCAGGTCTGCCAAGCCTACCTTCCCCAGGCCCACACGTGGTCCCCCAGTGTCCCCATGGCCCCCGGGCACAGCCCTCCCCCACAGTCAGTGCTCTGAGGGGGAGGCTCCTTTAGTCCTGCCATCGCCCCCTTTGTTTCTGCAGATTCTAGATGTTGAGTTTGGAGGTCACAGCTGAGCTGTAGGCCATGGGGTGGGTGCTGTCTGTCTCCAGGAACACGCTGCCCTGCTGGCTGCATGCACCATGTGGAGGTGGGGAGAAGGAGGGCTTCACTCGGTCAGCCCCCCCAACTGCCTCGATGAGTCTGAGCCACCAGGGGCCTCGTGTCTCCCTCGGAAGCCTGGGCTGTGGGGAAGAGAGGAAGGAGCTAGGGGCAACCTGACCGCTTGATGTCCCTGTCCCTGGGGAGACAGGCTCAAACTCTGTGTCGGGGGGGGGGGCGGTTCTGTTGGGGCCTGATGGGGGACGGTGGGGGGGGGGGGGGGGGCGGTTCTGTTGGGGCCTGATGGGGGACGCCCAGTGGGCTCTGGGGCTCCCCACCTGCTCCCTCTTTCTGATAAGGCTGCTCACTGGGGGTGTAAACATGCAATGGGGCCCAGTTGGGCAGGCCCTTGGTTCACTCTGAAGCCTGGGGGTATCCCAGCCCACACACCCTCCACGGGCAGACTGACAGCTGTGAGCAGGCGGGGACTTAGCCACAGGCCAGGTGAAGTCCTGGGTCCTGGTGACCCCCAGGCTGCCCTTCTTCTGGGTGGCCCCATCTCACACTGCGCACATACCTGGAGAAACAGATGGCACCATGAGGGCATTGCCCTCTCAGCCCCTCCACCTCATAGGACATGGCGTAGGCAGAGTGGTGAGGACAGGTGAGAGAGTCAGGCCAGCAAGAGCACCAGGGGGACTTCCTGGAGGAGTTGTTTCTGAGCTGATGCTGGAGGTGTGAGTAGGACCTGGCTTGGTGAGCTCTGCCCGCTGGCTCCCTCCCAGCGGGCCTTGAGGGGCAGGCCTATACATGACAGGCTGGGAAGTCAATTCAGCACAACAGAGGCCTTGGGGTCACCAGGGTCACTGCATGGCTGGGCCCTCCCTGGGGAAGTGGGGAGGACACAGTGTTGTCACCGCAGTACCACTGGGTCTGATATAGCACACAGTCTGCCATCCAAAAAACACAACTTCCTTGGGTTCTGGAAGCATCAACAGAAGATGGCCTTGGTGGTGGAAACTGGCCGAGGACCTCATGTTGGACACCAAGAACCACCATGCCAAGCGGCGGCTAACCAGCAAGGACTTGGGCCCGGAGTGAATGTAGCTCCTCCTGGCGGCGCCCGCGGGGCTGGGTGGGGCAGGGGCTCCGGTCCTGGCTAGCTGTGTCCCACTACCCTCCCCATGGCATCCTGAGTGGCTTCTTGTCTCCAGGCCCTCTCTACCATCTCCTTCCTATCCCATCCCTACACTGGCCTCCAGGTGACTGTCCCCAAAGCATAACTCTGGAGTGATGACCAAGTGAGCAAGTGAGTGTCCATGCCAGGGCCCCACATCCCTCAGCGGTGGCTCTGGCAGGGGCAGCCAGTCCCTGGGGACAGTACTGAGCTGGCCTTTGGCCTGTGCCCTCTCAACGCTGAGCAGAGGTGGAAGTGGGCTTTTTTCTCCCAACCTTTATTTCTATGGAGAAGTGCACATGTGATAACAAACCAAATAGCCCAAAGGGGCCTCAGCCTTGCAGCCCAGCCCCCATGCTGCATTCTGCAGCCGCGGCGGTGGTCCTTCTGACACCTCCACGGGTGTTTCCCTGAGGTGGACCGTCTGCTGGGTGGCCGGGACAAAGCACCACAGACGGGGTGGACCATCAGAGTGGAAACGCCTTCTCTCGCGGTCTGGTTGGCAGGTGCCATGGAGTGGGCTCTGAGTCACAGTGACCGCGGGGGCCGCAGAACGGAGCGCTGCAGGGTCCTGCGCCACCGCGTCACCCTGCTGTACTTGAGCTCCTCGTCAGAGCCACGGCGTCCCTCTCGTTGGTGGCTTCCTGTTTGTCACTGACCCTCTGCTTTACCAGCACCATGCCCTCCAGGGACTGGTCTCTTCTGAGCACGTGACCACACGTGACACAGAGTCTGGCCATTCTCGCTGGTAAGGAGCGTCCTGGCTGTACTTCCCGTGAGAGCGATTTGTTTGTTCTTTGGCCGTCGGCAGCGCATCCACTGTTCCTCGCCAGCACCACAGCTCACATGCGTCAGCGCTCCTGCAGTCTTCCTTATTCACTGTCCAGCTCTCACAAGCTTATGAGGTGACTGAAGGGACACTGGCGTGGGTCAGGCACACCTTGGTCTTCAAAGTGACCTCTTTGCTTTTTAACACTTTAAAGAGGTCTTTTGCAGCAGATTTGTCCAGTGCAATACAACGGACATCTGATTTCTTGACTGCTGCTTCCAGGGGTGTTGATCGTGGACCCAAGGAAAATTGTGGATCACTGCCTGGAGAAAGTCCAAATTCAGCCAGAGGCTCGAGGGGAGCAGCCTTCCTGTCTGTCCCAGCGTCTGTGGCCGCAGGGCCTCCCTGGCCTCACAGGATGCCTTCCCTCTGCTCCGTCTCTCCTCCGGCTCTCAGGACAGTGGTGCTGGACTAGGCCTCTCCCTGTTCCAGCATCGCCCACACCACCCAGGTGATGACACCTGTGAGGACCGACTCAGAGCAAGGTCACGTTCACAGGCTGGGACGCCATCCAGTTCAGAGGGTCATCTCTGTGATGCCAAGAACATGCTCCCTCGGCTGTTTCTGCTTCTGCCAGCCCACCAACACCCCACTCCCGGGGGCCACCCCTCAATGTCCTGCTCCCGGGGGCCACCATGGACACCTCACTCCCTTCCTCATGGACGGACATCTGGTTGTCTCCACTCTGGACTCGTGTGAGTCACGTCACTGTCATCTTCGTGCATGAGTTTTGCGGGCCCTGTGCCTTCATGCCTGTTGGGTGTATGCCCTCTGGGAGTGCCCCCCAGTCAGGCAGTAACTGCACATCTTGTTTTTGAGGAACTGCCCACTGCACCTTCCCCCCAGCAGTGAGGGGCACTTCCTCCCTGGCCTCCATGTCTTGCTGTAACCTGGCTTTGGGACCCCAGCAGTCCCAGTGGTGGGAAGGGGCCCAGTGCTTCTGCAGCAGGTCCTGGGGGAGGGCAGGCAGGGGGGTGAACCCTGGCAGGCCGCAGATGCAGGCCCAAGGGCAGCTAAAGGAAGGGGTCCAGATGTTTGTCTCGGGACAGATTGGAATCGAGGGCCATTGAACCTGGCAGAGATTTAAATGAGCCGCTGGGACCTGAGTCCACCCAGCCTCAGCTTTCTTATTGCAGAAGCAACCGTACTGCTTACCCCACAATCACAGAGTAGCACGTCAGCAAGGGTGGCCCAGGCCGTCCTCACTGAACCCGCGCTTGTTCCGTAACCCTGGTCTTGTCTGCCCAGAGCTGTGTGTGTGTGCACATGCATGTGTCTGTATGTGCCTGTGTGTTTGCGTGTGCATGCGTATGTGTGTGCATGTATGGGTGTGTCTGTGTGTCTGTGTGAGTGTGTATATGTGTATTAGTGTGTCTGGGTATGTCTGTGTGTGTGTCTGTGTTAGTGTGTCTGTGTGTCTGGGTATATATGTGTGTCTGTGTATGTGTGTACGTGTATGTCTGTGTTAGTGTATGTGTCTGGGTATTTATGTCTGTATGTGTGTCTCTGTTAGTGTGTGTCTGTGTCTGTGTTAGTGTGTGGGGTTTGGGTATGTCTGTGTGTCTGTGTGTATTCTGTGTGTCTGTTTTAGTGTCTGTGTCTGCATGTCTGTGTCTGTATGTGCATTGTGTGTGTCTGCATCTGTCTGTGTTTGTGTCTGTATGTGTATTCTATGTGTCTGTGTCTGTGTCATACATGTATTCTGTGTGTCTCTGTGTTAGTGTGTGTGGGTTTCTAGGTGAACGTGTATTCTGTGTATGTGTATGTATGTTTATGTGTGTGTCGGTGTTAGTGTGTATCTGTGTATGTATGTGTGTGTGTTTATGGGTAAATATTCTGTGTGTTTATGTCTGTGTTAGTGTGTGTCTGTGTCTGTGTGTCTGTGTTTATGGGTGAATGTGTATTCTGTGTGTCTGTGTATGTATGTGTGTAAGTGAATATGTGGGTAAGTCTGTGTATTCTGTGTGTCTATGTGTACATGTGCGTCTGTGTTAGTGTATGTATGTCTGTGTCTATGTATGCATGTGTATTCTGTTTGTATTAGTGTGTGTCTGTGTGTATATCTGTGTATGTGTGAGTATTCTGTGTGTCTGTGTCTGTGTTAGTGTGTGTCTGTGTATGTATGTGTACTCTGTGTGTCTCTGTATTTTTAACCAGAATGAGTTCACAGCATAACAAACATGTTGGAGGTGTAGGCTGGTACAGCATTAGGTCCTTTCCGGGTATCCCCTCCCCAGTCCCGTGAAGCCGGAGAAGCTGCTGAAGGGGAAGTACAATTGAAAAGGCAAAGTGACAGGAGCTGCTGTCATCGGGGACGTCTGAAACATTGACAGATACCATATAGGGATGTTGGAGTGGCCCTGTGACGGTGGCCGATGACCAGGTTGGCTCGGAGCACCATGTGGGAATGTCAGAGTGGCCTCGTGATGGTGGCTGGCTGACCAGGTTGGCATGGGAAGGGGCTGGGCTCCCCCTCTGTAAATGCCAGCAAGTAGGAGGGGAAAGCTGGGGAAACTCTGGGAGAACAGAAGGGAGCACAGGGGCTTTACAAGGTTGCAAAAGCCCCCTGTGGTGCTCTTGACATAAGCACAGGGCGGGGACTGTCCGTCCTCAGCCACGTCCTCCTGTGGGGTCACCAGGGAGGCACAAGACCTGCAGCCTTGCCTGGGACCTCACTGCACATGCCAGGAGGACCCCCGCTGGCCCACCCACAGCGGCACATGGGCACAAGACGCCCTAGGCCTCCATCCTGGGGCTGCAAGGATCAGCTGCCAGCCCTTCAAAGAAGTCTTGAATTCTTCCTGAATATTTAAGACCTGCTGCCAAGCTGCAGAGCAAGCTCAGGGTGCCTCGGGGCCTGGGCGCTCCTGGTGCAGGGCTGGACGGTGGCCTGGCGAGTCCTTCCCACACTACCGCCACCCAGGCTGCAGCGGGCACAGCCGGTCTGGAGTCCAGAGTCCCGGAGGGTAGCCCACCTCCACCCCTCCACTTCCCCCACAGCTGACACCCTGGGCTCTCCAGGGGCACCCGGCAGGACTGTGTTTGCCTCTGCCCACTGACAGCTGGCCCGTGGTTGGAGACACGGCAGGGGTGGGGTACCCAGGAAGTGCAGGAGCAAGGTTCCTGGTGCTGACTTCCTAATCCGTGGCTTTCACACCTCAAGTTTGGTAAGTATGCACAAGGAGCCCGTGCTTACCTGGCTTCTGGGGCCGCCGACACACTGCAGGGCCCTGGGACAGTGGAGCCTCCCAGCAGGGGTCGTGACGCCCAGCACACGCAGGAGCCCACACCCTCACTGCCGGCCTAGTTGTCCCTTTTGGGGAAGACTGAGCTCACTCCCCCCTTCCTGCGGGGCTGGGGACTGGGCAGGGTGACTGGGTGGGGAGAGGCCCAGCACCCCCTCAGAGGACCCTGCGCTGGGGCTGACAGGGCACAGACCCCAGTGGCTCAGTCTGCCTCTGGGACATACAGGCCCTGGACTCCAGAGCTGGGCTCCATTTACAGGCCAAGGTGGGCAGGGTGAGGGGGGCCCAGGCCTTCTTCTCTGTCCTGCCAACGCTCCCCAGAGGCAGGGCAGGTCAGGAGGGTGGAGGCGGGCAACACTGGGGAAACCTGGGTGCCCAGTTTTCAGATGGAGCGAGGACAGCAGGGTGGGGGGCAGGACTGCAGCCCTAGCTCTGCCCGATGAGTCACTCCAGAGGAAACGTGGCGGGGGGAGGGACACTAAGGGAGAGGGGTGGGGGCTGTGGGGGCCGGAGGAGGCCCAGGGGAGGGGGCCTGACAGGGACCCACCCTGCAGGGGCGCTGGGCCCAAGGGGACACCCAGGGCGGGGTGGGGGGCAGGCCACAAGGAGGAGGGAGTAGGCATCCCCTCTGGGTCGGGTCCCTGGGTCCACTTGACTGTGAGGAATGCGAGGCTGAGGCCGACTGAGGTCTCCCCACACACACTCCAGCAGGGCGGCCATGGGGTTCCGCTGTGGGACCCAGTCTGAGGGGGACCCAGAAACTGGGCCCAGGCCTCTCCACGGTGAGGTCCACCCAACCTGGGGCCTCCCGTGGTGACCAGGCCTGTGAGCCAGCCCCTTGAGGGGCTTTCAGTCAAGCAGTCCCACCTCCCTCCCTGCAGCTGCTCCCCTCTCCTCCCCCACCCCTCCCTCTGCTCTCGCCCCTCTGCCCTCCCTGTCCCCGGGCATAGTCAGGCCCTGGACACCCCAAGATCGGCGGGCAGGTCTAGGGCCTGAGCCAGTGCTTCCTACATAAACCTCGGACAGGAAGTGCGCTTCCTACTTCTCTCCAAGGCCAGCCCCAAACCAGAAGAAGGCCTGCCTCCTCCACGGAGGTGTTCCCGCCTGCCACCCCAGCGGACCTGGGGGCGGCTGTGCACTCGGGCCTGAGCGTGGGCGGCAGGCAGAGCCGGTTCCTGGGGCCTGTGTGGACAGGTGGATTGTAATCAGGGTTTCAGGAATGTGGCTCTGGAGGCCCTTGGGAAGGGAGGGGCTCCCGAGAGTTGAGAGTTGGAGAGTCGCAGGGGGGCGGGGTGGAGGGAGAGAGAGGGCCCTCCTCACAGACCCTCCGGCCTCTGGGCCAAGGATGGGCTCCCAGATGGGTCATGTGGGGTGGGGCTGGGGGCAGCTCAGAGCCCAGGTGAGGCCCCTTGTGTCTGGGAGAGGCTGCCAGCCCTGTCTCTGCAGAGGGAAACAAAGGGCCTGTCAAAACCCCTAATTAACCTGTAACATTGGTGATGGCTCTGGCAGACACAGGGGAGCTGGCCTCCCAGAGTTAATTACAGCACAGCTGAGCGGGGACATTAACTAGGCTGGCAGTGGGGTTTCCTAGCCTTGAAGGGGAGTGAACGACCCCTGTGAGAAGAGGAAGGGGACACCCATATCTCCCTCCCTCCAGGAGTGCATCTTCTTCCTTCCCCATGAAGGGGCAGGGTGCTGGGGTGCCAGCCCCTCCCGGGCCTTCGCAGGGAGCCCCAGCCCCTCAGAGCTGGGAAAGGGCCTCTGCCCAAGCCGCTGCCTGCCCTTTCCCCAAGGCTTCTCCTGTCTTGTGCTTTTCCTTTCATAGTTTATGGAAAATAAATTATAAATAAGATCATACAGAGACACACTCACACAGAGACATATACAGACACACTCACAGACACACAGAGACACAGACACGCACAGACACGCACACACAGACATACACTCCAAGCACACACACTCACATAGACACACTCACATAGATACACACACTGACAGAGACACACACAGATACACCCACAGAGACACAGACACAGTCACACACAGACACACACACACACAGACATACACTCAAGGCACATACACACAGAGACACATTCACAAACACACACTCACAGAGATACACACTGACAGAAACACACAGACATACTCACACACACTCACATAGACACACTATCAGACATACACAGATACATATGCATACACTCCAGACACACACACACAGACACACTCAGAAGACACACTCACATACACACACACTCACACATATTCACTTCCACACAGGTGCGAGCACACACCGACACACACCCACGCACACACATGCTTTTCCCATAGCACCGCCCATGCCCCGCCTCTGCCCCCTGGGGCACCGTTTCCTCAGAGGCCACTGCTCTGCAGCTCACTGATCAAACAGCAAGTGTGTGACTGGGTGGGTGAGTGTGCAATGTGAGCATGTTTGTAGTGTGTGTGCATCTCTGAGTCAGGTGAGTAAGTGTGTGTGCGAGTGGGGGTGTGATGTGTGTGTTGGTGGTGTGTGGATCTGTGTGGATCTCTGTCGGTCTGTGTGAGGGAGTATGTGAGTGAGTGTGTGAGTGTTGTGTGCGCAGGTGTGTGGTTTGTGTGTATGCATCTCTGTGAGGCTGTGTGAGTGAATGTGTGTGTGAGTGGGGGATTGTGGTGTCTGTGTCGTGTGTGTGTCTATGAAGTGAATGAGTGAATGTGTGTGTGAGCGGGGGGGGATGTGTGTGGTGTGTGTATGTGGTGTGTGTGTGTACATCTCTGTGAGTCTGTGTGAGTGAATGTGTGAGTGGGTGTGAGCATGTGTGGTGTGTGTGTGTGGTGTGTGTGGGAGTGTATGTGAGTGGGGTGATGTGTGTATTGTATGCATGTGTGTGGTGCATGTGTCTGTGTGCATCTGTCAGTCTGTATGAGTGAATGTGTGTGAGTGTGTGTGAGCCTGTGGTGTGTACATGTTTGTGGTGTAAGTGTCTGCACGTCTGTGTGTGTAAGTGAATGTGTGCTTGACTGAGTGTATGAGCATGTGTGCTGTATGTTTGCGGTGTCTCTGTGTGCATCTCTGAGTGTAGTGAATGTGTGTGAGCGAGTGTGTGGGAGCGTGTGTGGTGTGTGCATGTATGTGGTGTGTATGTCTGTGTGTCTGTGTGAGTGAACGAGGGTGGACTGTGTATGTGTGTATGTAATGTGTGCAAGTTTGTGTGGTGTGTCTGTGTAAGAGAATGTGGGTCAGTGTGTGTGCATGTGTGTGTTTGTGGACGTGTGGGGTTGTGTGTGGCAGCTGTGCATGTCTGTGTGTGGCGTGTGTGAGCGCTCTCTGCTGCCAGCTGAGTGCCCAGCTCTTGGCCCTTCAGTTCTATGGGTGGTACTAGAGCCTGGAGTGGTGTGGTGCCCTCTGCTGGCCACTGAGCAGATGGACCCAGCATGGCTCAGTATGCAACCTCCTTGGGCATCTGGCACCTACGTGGTACCCTGGAGCCCACGTCTCACCCCGGAGTCCACATCTCACCCTGAAGCCCACGTCTCATCCCGGAGCCCACGTCTCACCCAGGGGCCCACGTCTCGCCCAGGGGCCCACATCTCACCCCAGAGCCCACATTGCACCCTGGAGCCCATGTTGCACCCAGACGCCCA